CCCCCATTTGCTCCCCCCACCCCGCGCTTGCTCTTCCAGCCCCCCACACACACACTCACCGGCAGTAGCAGCAGCCTCTGATGCTGGAGATGAGAGGAGAGCGAGCAGGAGGTGGAGACAGTGGGGGAACATCTCCAGCTCATCTCCAGGGGCTTGTCTCCAGCCTCCTGCTCACCCCTGCTCATCTCCAACCTCCTGCTCGTTTACAGCCTCCCAAGGCTGGAGACGAGCAGGAGGACAAGCAGGGGTCTGGAGATGAGCCTCTGGAGATGAGCTGGAGATATTCCCCTGCTCTCTCCAACCCCCTGCTCATCCTCCTGCTCCAGCCTCCTGCTCATCTCCAGCCTCCCAAGGCTGGAGATGAGCAGGGGAAGCAGCAGGAGGCTGGAGACAAGCTCCTGGAGATTATCTGGAGACTTCTCCTGCTGCCCCTAGCCTTCTGCTTGAGCCTTCTCCTGTCTATTTGTTACCCATATGCCATGGGCCCTAAGGTCCACCCAACTAGTGGCCTGTATGGTGTGGGGCCAGTGAATGAATAACACAACAGAATACTTGGGACAACTAAGGCAAAAACAGGGTTAGAGTGTTGTGTGTGTCAAAACGTGAAAAGAAGTGCGCCTAAGTGGGACACTGAGCAGAGCCCCCCAGGGTGCACCCATCAGTCTTCAAAGGCATCCAAGGAACCAGTGGACACTGCCCACTGGTCCTCCACCCGGAAACATGTACAGACAAATGACAGGAAACTCAGAAGCTCCTGTCTATTTGTATCTTCTAGAGATCAGGAACCGTAAGGCTCATCTAGTTAACTAATAGCCCCTCCATAGACATTAGGGGCTGGAAGGGACCTCGTGAGATCATCAGGTCCAGCCTCACCACCATAGATGGGAAGTCAGCTGGGATCAAGTGACCCCAGCAAGAAATAAATCCAGCTGTTTTTTTGAAGGAGTCCAGAGTAGGTGTTTGCACCACCTCTGGGGGGAGTTTGTTCCAGACCCTGGACACACGTACCATAAACAACTTTTTTCTTCTATCCAGCCTAAATCAGCCTTCCTGGAGTTTATGGCCATTAGAACTCGTTACCCCTTGGAGAGCTCTGGTGAACAGGTGTTCTCCCAGGTCCTGATGTACCTCTCTTATAAAGTTTTAGGCTGCCACCAAGTCCCCCCTTCTCTTCTCCAGACTGAAGAGTCCCAAGTCCCTCATCCTCTCCTCATATGGCCTTCCCTCCAAGCCTTGTATCATATGAGTCCTCTGGACTCTCTCCATCTTCTCCACATCCTTCCTGAAGTGGGGGACCTAATACTGGATGCAGTACTCCAGCTGCAGTCTCACCAGGGCTGAGTAAATCGGGAGGATGACTTCCCTGGTTTTGCTTGAGATGCATTGCTGGATGCACACCAGAGTTTGGTTAGCTTTGCCTGCCACCGCGTCACATTGGTGGCTCATATTCATCTTGTGGTCAATCAAGACCCCCAAGTACCTTTTGGTTGTGGTGCTAGCGAGTGTAGCACTGCTGAGCCTGTAAGTATGCTGAGGATTCTTCCTACTGAGGTGCAGCACTTTCCACTTCTCTGCATTGAAGGCCATCCAGCTTTGGTCAGCCCACCTTGAGAGTGCATCCAAGTCAGCCTGTAATCCCAGCCTGTCCTGCAGTGTGACAGTCCTCCCCCATAATTTGGTATCATCTGTGAACTTGGTCAGTTCACATCTGACTCCCGAATCTA